GTTCTGCAGGACAATGGCAGTTCTTGTGTTCTATGATTTCTCATTCCGTTGTTTGTCCCGGTAGGAGAATGGAGCCGTCGGGAGCAGCAGCCAGCCAGTGGTCTGAATGTAGCAGTGTGCTGGACCTCTCCTGTACATATGATATATCAAAGAGTCTTCATCAGCCAGAACCCACTACTGGGACACTGGAGGACGATTCCAGCTGTGCCTTAACCTCGGCTTCACCAGATCTTCACTGAACAACACTGGTAGGGGGTCACTCTTCTCATTCGGGACTTTTGGATTTCAGTAAAGGAAGGATAAACTATACAACCTGGAAAATGAGGATCAATTAATAAAAAAAACACTTTTACAAAAGCAGAGCTTTTTTCCAGTGGGAACGTGGAGGAACACTGTTCCGACACTGGGATTGGAGGGTTTATAGTTGCTGGGGTATCTATTAATGTAGGGGTCTCTTGTTGCTGGGGAGGTCTGTTGTTCCTAGTGGGGGATCTTTTGTTGCTTGGGGGGTCTTATGTTGCTGGGAATGTCAGTTGTTGGTGTGAGAAATCTAGTGTTACGGGAGTTGGTCTATTGTTGCTGGCTGCTGGGGGATTTATTGTAGCTGATGGGGATCTATTGTTGTTGGAAGGGTATTTTGTTGTGAAGGGCATCTATTTTTGCTGGAGGGTATTTTGTTGTGAAGGGATCTATTGTTGCTGGGAGGGTATTTTGTTGTGAAAGGATCTATTGTTGCTGGGAGGGTATTTTGTTGTGAAAGGGATCTATTGTTGCTGGGAGGGTATTTTGTTGTGAAGGGATCTATTGTTCTGGGAGGGTATTTTGTTGTGAAAGGGATCTATTGTTATTTTGTTGTGAAAGGGATCTATTGTTGCTGGGAGGGTATTTTGTTGTGAAGGGATCTATTGTTGCTGGGGGGGAGGGTTTTTTTGTGAAGGGCATCTATTTTGTTGCTGGGAGGGTATTTTGTTGTGAAAGGGATCTATTGTTGCTGGGAGGGTATTTTGTTGTGAAAGGGATCATTGCTACAGGGTATTTTGTTGTGAAGGGCTTATATTGTTGCTGGGAGGGTATTTTGTTGTGAAGGGGATCTATTGTTGCTGGGAGGGTATTGTGTTGTGAAGGACATATACTATTATTGTCGCTGGGAGGGTATTTTGTTGTGAAGGGGATCTATTGTTGCTGGGAGGGTATTTGTTGTGGAGGGCATCTATTGTTGCTGGGAGGGTATTTAGTTATGAAGGGCATCTATTGTTGCTGGGGAGGGTATTTAGTTATGGAGGGATCTATTGTTGCTGGGAGAGTATTTTGTTATAGGGCATCTATTGTTGCTGGGAGGGTTATGAGAGGGATCTATTGTTGCTGGGAGAGTATTTTGTTATCAAGGGCATCTATTGTTGCTGGGAGGGTATTTAGTTATGAGGGGGATCTATTGTTGCTGGAAAGGTATTTAGGTATGAGGGGCATCTATTGTTGCTGGGAGGGTATTTAGTTATGAGGGGTTTTACTATGTGGGCTGCGTGTGTTTTACTGTGTAAGCACATTGCTGTGTATTGCTCTGCTATGCACAGCTATACAAAGCAGTGTTCAAGAGTTGACAGGGGAGAGATCTGTATTGCTTACATAGACCTCTCCCCCGTCAGTGATACTCGGTGCCGGCGGGGAATCACGTCTGGGAAATCACCGTCTGGGAATCACCGTCTGGGACCCAGTGATCGACAGCTAAAGCTGCCAATGGTGGTGCAGGTAGGGCGTGTGTGTGTCCCCTACTCTGAAATGCAAAGCACTTATATATACACGTGATTTTCCACAATCAGATCTTTATTATTTTTTGGCAACAACATGGTGTGGGCGTATTTCTGCCAGTTATATGCTGTGTTACACCCCTTTAGCCTGTGTTTTAGAACAGCGGTCTCCAAACTGCGGCCCTGGGGCCGGATGTGGCCCTTTGCTTATTTTTATCCGGCCCTTGAGGCACTATTCTTCCCTCTGATAAAAGGCACCATTCCCCCCGACTGACACCTACAATGGGCCATTATTCTCCCCACTGACGCCAACATTGGGGGACTATTCCTCCCACTGACACCAACAATGGGCCATTATTCCTCCCACTGATACCAATGATGGGGCACTATTCCTCCCACTAATACCAATGATGGGGCACTATTCCTCCCACTAATACCAATGATGGGGCACTATTCCTCCACTGACACCAATGATGGGGCACTATTCCCACACTGACAGCAACAGTGGGCCATTATTCTTCCCACTGACACCAATGATGGGGCACTATTCCTCACACTGATACCAATGATGGGGCACTATTCCTCCCACTGATACCAATGATGGGGCACTATTCCTCCCACTGACACCAATGATGGGGCACTATTCCTCCCACTGATACCAATGATGGGGCACTATTCCTCCACTGATACCAATGATGGGGCACTATTCCTCCCTCTGACACCAATGATGGGGCACTATTCCTCACAAAAACACCAATGATGGGGCGCTATTTCCCCCACTGATACCAACAATGGCGCAGCACAGTGGCTAAATGGTTAGCACTTCTGCCTGGCAGTACTAGGGTCCTTGGTTCGAATCCCAGCCATGGCACCTCCTGCCTGGAGTTTGCATGTTCTCCCTGTGCCTGCGTGGGTTTCCTCCAGGTACTCCGGTTTCCTCCCACACTCCAAAGACATGCTGGTAGGTTAATTGGATCCTGTCTAAATTGTCCCTAGTATGTGTATGTATGAATGTGAGTTAGGGACCTTAGATTGTACACCCCTTGAGGGTTAGGGACTGATGTGAATGTACAATATATATGTAAAGTGCTGTGTAAATTGACGGCGATATATAAGTACCTGAAATAAATTAATAAATAAATTATTCCTCCCACTGACACCAATGATGGGGCACTATTCTCCCTACCGACACCAACAATGGGACCTAGTTTTTGCCACTGACACCAACAATGGGCAATTATTCCTCCCACTGACACCAATGATGGGCCACTATTTCTCCCATTGATACCAACACTGGGGTACTATTCCTCCCACTGACACCAACGATGGGGCACTAGTCCTCTCCCTAATACCAAATATGGGGCACTAGTCCTCTCCCTAATACCAAATATGGGGCACTGTTTAGTCCCACTAATGCCAAAATATTTTCTACTCCCACTAGCCACAGTCCGGCCCCTCTAAAGTCTGAAAGATAGTAAGCTGGCAATTTGTATAGAAAGTTTGGAGACCCTGTTTTAGAATAACATGGAGATGAAGCCTCCATCAATCAAGATATAATATCCCACATGCATTGAGTTTAGCTGGTTTATATGGCAGGAGGAGGAGGGAAGGAGAATGCTGTTATTTACCACTGTGTATACACCCACATGTGTGACTATGTAGTCACATGGACTGCCCAGAGGATGCTCTGGGGAAGGAATACACTGAAAAATGAGCATGTGCACTAGCTGCCAACACTGCTCTGCAAAATCGCCAACTGCAGTGGGGACATGGACAGAAGGGGGAGACAGAGAACAGCAGGATCAACCAGTTTTTTTTTTTGTTTTTTTTTGCAGAATTCAGAAAACGAATCTCATAGTGAATGGGACTATGAACAGCTTGTAATACAGATTTTTATAGTTTTTAATGATGTGGGTTTAATGTCACTTTTTGCTTTCTTGCTCCGCCCCCAGCTTCTTCCCAGCAGCAGTACAATGTAAGGGGGGTCCACAGTGATGTAAAGGAGGGTGGGGGACTGTTGACTTCTGATGGTGGGGGGGCTAGTGCCATCTGATGTAAGGGGGGGTGAAATGCTCTGGATATCCAGTCTTACTGATACAGCCGGCCCTTTGGGCAACCATAATGCTGATGTGGCCCGCAATGACATTGATTTTGACACCCCTGTCCTAAGCATTGTAAGAAGGGGAGGTGTATGTAGTCCAAATCAGGGGAGCAGCCTGGGGTGACAGTGATGCTCCTACATACAGTACGGTCTGTGAGCTTTGTTACCCTAGGACAGGAATTGTTGCTGGCAGGATCGCCAGATGAACATCTAAGGATTGCTAATCTGCAAAATTACATTTTTGTTTTTGGGTTTAAATATGATTTAAAGAATATGAAGAATATAAAGATATAAAGATATAAAAGGTGCTAAATAACTCAGCTCTGTAAATTATTATTATATAATGATCTTTGATAATTGGAATCTGTAGCCTACCTGGACTGATCTGGCTAAGAATAGAACCTGCCTCTATTCATCTTTAAATCTAACACCTTGTTATTTAATCTTCCAATGATAAAAATAGTAACTTCCTTCATTGTTTGAAAGATACACGCGGCTTCAGAGAGAAATTCTGATGAACATCTTAAACTATTACCCAACAGCCGCATTAAATATACATTTCTGCAGCTTGCTGGTGCTGAAATGAGAACTCCTTTGAGCTTTCCGTGGACTTGCAAAATATCTGAAGGAACAGCGGCGGAAATGAATTTCCAGATAGGGAAGACTCGTTCAGCTGCGTTATTAAATCTGGGGAGAGTCAAAACATCTCCAGTATTATCTTCATTATGAAGTTGAAACACAAACATCTGCACTTTACATGGGATATAATAACCTCGAATAAACAGACGCTGCTGAGAGCGATCTACAGTATCTAGAATGTTGGCGTCAGTGGGAGGAATAATGGCCCATTGTAGGTGTCAGTGGGGAGAATAGTGGCCCATCGTTGGTGTCAGTTTGGGGAATAATGGCCCATTGTAGGCGTCAGTGGGGGGAATAGTGGTGTCAGGGCTCGGGGTATGACCAGAGGTGTGTGGACTGACACAGGGAAACGCAGGCTTCAGATATGGTATAAAAAATAAGACAATTTATTAGGACTAACAATACAAAACATAAACGCAGTGCACCAAACCCCAAGCTAACACAAATACATACAACAAGGTGAAACAAACCCAAACCTAAACTGATAAAGATACACAGGTACATACACATATAGAGCACAACGTAGTCAGGCAGGCCGGGTCGATAACTATCGGGAAGGTAGGTACAGGAGGAGCAGGCAGAGAGTAGTCAGGTCACGGGCCGGGTACAGCAACTAACGGACAGGTAGGTACAGGGGGTCAGGCAGAGAATGGTCAGGGTCACAAGCCAGGGATCAAACAGGAGAAGTCAGCAGAGGTCAGGATCATGCAGGGTCGGCAACAAGTCAGGCAGAAACAGGAACAGGAACAGGAATGCAGGTTACAAGATACAGGGGCCCATGGGAAAAACACACACCAAGGCCAAGACTGTGAGTCTGGCCATTCCTTAAATACAACCCCTGCAATCAGCTTCAGGTGTTTGGGCTGACTGCAGGGGTGAGTCTCTGATTGCTGAGAGCACCCGCTGGCCAGCCCTGGTACTGCAGCCCACAAGGCAGGTGAGTCCCACCACTATTGGCAAGTCCATTCCTGACAAGTGGCCCATTGTTGGTGTCAGTTTGGGGAATAAGGGCCCATTGTAGGTGTCAGTTGGGGGGGGGGGCTTTTATTAGAGGGAAGAATAGTGCCCCAAGGGCCAGATAAAGATAAGCAAAGGGCCACATGAGGCCCCAGGGCCGCAGTTTGGAGACCCTTGTTCTAAAACATGTAGACTGCAAGACCAAATACTTTCAGGGTCCAGGAAACTGACCAGACCTTTTCCGATCATGTGACTGCCCTGACAGCGAATCACTATCACCTCTATGCTGACGACACCCAAATCTACCTCTCCACCCCTCACCTCACCCCCACTATCTCCGCCCGCATCACTCACCTCCTAAATGACATCTCAGACTGGATGTCGCTACATTTCCTCAAGATTAACCTCTCCAAAACCGAGCTTCGTCTTTCCCCCTGCCCACACCCCCCCCATCCTATCCATCATCACCAACAACTCCACTATCACTTCCGCCCCGCAAGCCAAAGTCCTTGGCGTCATTCTTGACGCGAACCTCTCCCTCCAACCGCATGTCAAATCACTCACAAACACATGCAGGCTCCATCTTCGCAACATTGCCAAGATCCGCTCCTTCCTCACCCCAGACACCAGCCCAAACTTCTAGTACACTCCCTCATCATCTCACGCCTGGACTACTGCAACTCCCTCCTCACTGGGTGCAGGCTCTCCCCGCTCCAGACCATCCTGAACTCAGCTGCCAGACTCATCCACCTCACCACCCGCTCCACCTCTGCCACCCCCCTCTGCCTCTCCCTCCACTGGCTCCCGATTGCCCAACGCATCAAATTTAAACTCCTTACCCTGACCTACAAAGCCGTTCATAACACTGCCCCTGACTACCTCACCAACCTGATCCCCAAGTACTGCCCTCGTACCCTTCGCTCCTCACAGGACCTCCTTCTATCCTGCTCCCTGGTCTCCTCCTCCCATGCACGACTGCAGGACTTCTCCAGGTCCTCCCCCATCCTCTGGAACTCACTGCCCCAATCCATCAGACTGTCGCCTTCTCTATTCACATTCAGGCGCTCCCTCAAAACCCATCTCTTCAGGGAAGCCTACCCCACCCTCACCTAACGGCCATCCTCCCTCATTCCTCCTACCACTTCATCCCCCCCAGCCACTTCCTACTGTACCTTTACCCCCTCCCTCCTAGATTGTAAGCTCGTAAGAGTAGGGCCCTTACCCCTCGTACGCTGTCTGTCTTTGTTGTACTGTGCCATGTATTGTCCCCCCTATTGTACAGCGCTGAGCAAACCCTTTGGCGCTATATAAAACTCGTAGTAATAATAATAATAATAATAATCACGGCGGTCACATGACCATAAAACCTCTTCACGGCCGGGAGGCGCCAGCGTGAAGAGGTTAAGCTGAAAAAACACTGAGGGATTATTACTACTTTAAAGTGGTTGTACACCGTCACATACTGTCGGGAAAATAATGATTTGATTCCCTGCAGATTTTGTAAGTTTGCCCAATTACAAAGATATGAAGGGTCTATAATTTTTGTCACAGGTGTATTTTAAATGATAGAAACAGAATACCAACCAAAAATACAAAAAAACACACAATACAAATGTTATTGGTGTTGGTGTTTTTTTTTTTCTTCCATGGATCTGCCTTGCAAAAATTAAACTTCCTAGCAGGGGTTATAGCCAGGGGCAGACTGACCATTTGGAAACTCGGGCACTGCCCGAGGGCCCGGGGTCAGTAGGGGTCCCCATGAGATGCCCCTGGTACCTTTTTCATAGGCTTTTTTGAGTTTGAGCAAGGACACAGGGGCTCCATGATACCCTATTGCCCGGGGGCCACCATGAGTTGTCAGTCCGCCCCTGGTCATAGCTCTTTGTTGATACCAGAGCCCTGATCAGGGCTGTGGATAAGGGGGTACCACCAGTCCTCCTGTACAGGGCCCAGGCCAGTAGGAGGGCCTAGGCAGCTATGTGAATCGGATGTGTGCAGGGAAGGTGATCAGCACAGTGTGGCGGGACAGTTACTGGAACCGATCCCCTGTACGGCTCTCTCTGCAGCAGCTGAAAGCTAGCTTCTTCTCCTCTCCATCCCACTGGCTTTTAGCTGCTGTTGAGAGAGCCATACAGGGGATGGATTGGTTCCAATAATTGCCCCCTTCCTTTCCTGAACGAACACGATGAGTGATCGGTACTGATCACTCACTGTGTTCATTCATAAGTGAAGCATAGTAAACTGTGTGGTTTTTTTTTTTGGCAGGGCCATGTCAGGTTTGCTGTATGGGGCCCCGTGGCTTCTGTCAGCAACCCTGGCCGTGATCAGTGGACTAATAGGGGAACCCTACACCATTTAATATTTGGAGAATAGAGTATTTAACAGGAGACTGCAATGTGGAAGTCCCCGATCCAGAGGTAATAGACACTTTGCAGAAACGTGACCGTGCCACCATGCCGACATATTGGTTTTGTAATTGAAGTTTATCTGAAGCTGTGATGGACAGATTGATGAAGCAACAAACAAATGCTTCAACCGCCTATCTTCACAGTGACAAGGGAAGCGGCGGTATAATAAATTAGACATTAACTCAAGACAAGAGAGATAGATGTTGATTGCTCAGTGCCTTTCTGAATTGTAATTGTGCATTTGCTTCGTTTAAAAAGAGAACAAGTCCATTTTACAACATTCAGTTGCCAGGTAAAATGTATTTAAATTTAATTTAAAGGGATTTCCGTTTTACCTGTTGAGGTATTTATCCTTTGTGATCCTTTTGATAAAGAAAGATGGCATATTATTGAAGATATGTAAGTCTTCTTGCTATTGCTTATTGTAATTAAAGTGGAATTATTGTCTCTCGTTAAAAAAAAAATAAATAAAAAAATGTTCTGCAGCACTTAAAGAATATGTGAACCCAAGATTTCATATTCCTGATATGTCTCTCAGGAACTGTTTGGAAAGGTGACTATTAACCCCCCTGGCGGTAGCTCGGGGTTAACTTTCAGTATCAGAAGCGGTAACCCCAAGCTACACTCGGGAATACCCTGCAGCATTGCTCCGGGATCCCTCCAGCACTTACCTTGTCCTGCGCTCCCGCGATGTCCCCCCTGCAGCGTCCCCGGCCATCTCCTCCAGCCAATGCCGGCATCTGTCTTCTGGGTTCCGTTCCCTGCGAGCGTCGGGACGTACGGGGACGGAACTGGCGGGAATTTTACAAATGTTAAAAACTGACATTCACTAAATACACTAAAATCACATAGTATAACATTCCTGTATCAAACCATTTCACATACACTTTGTCCCGAGTGCTTTGTCCTGTGTCCTGCCTGCATTTTTACCACCCTTTCTGCCTGGAAACTGAGAAACATCCATGGCGTCCAAAAAGCGCCCCTTTAGGTCAAAAGCGGTTTTAGACCGGCTAGAGAACAGCGATAGTAAATCAGAACCACTTGCAGAATTGAGTGATAATGATTCGTGGGGGAAATTCCTCATCAGACACTGAAAACGATTCTGCAACTGAGCTCAGCGATGTGCGAACTTGGCGCTGTATTTCACATTTCAGTGTTTTTGGTTTGATTATATTATTGAATTAAATTTTATTATTATTATATTATTATTTTTTTAGGATTATTTATTAAATTATAATTTATGATTTTGTGTTTCAAATTTTATCATACCCGGGATGTTTACTAGACTTTTGTTCGGACAGATTTCAGTGAGTTATTTCTAAAAATTACAGGCCTACAATAAAAAAAGACATATTTCCATGCAAACAAATTTACCGCTTTGAGCACAGAAATACTGACATAATCAGACTGCTAGGGAGGTTAACCCCTTCGGTTCCATTTTTATTATATATTCAGGTTTTCGCTTAGTCGCACTGAAAAAGCCTCCCTGCCAGTGAAGTTCACTTCATACAGATCCCTTTGATGGGGTGGCCGCATGATTTACCAACTTCATGTAGGCTGTGCCTGCCTGGGTGGGATGGGAAGATGATGCTCGGAGGCATGAGTATCAACTTTGGCACTTCTGATTCAAAAGTCGATAGCTTGCCAGTCATAAGCTGGCCACGCCTAGAAGTCCCACCTACTGCTTTATGAATTGACATCACTGCCTCTGTTGTTAAAACCCTCCCACTCTGAGCTGCAGCGTCTCAGATGGGAAGTATGTGAGACACAAATGAAAGGATTTTTCTCAGTTAGAGGAGGTAAAGGCATTTTTTTTTTTTTTATTTGGCTTGTGCTTGACATAGTAACTGGATTTGGGACTTGGTTGGACTATCATACAGCCTTCAGATGTACTGTAAATAAAAAGAACTCTCACTTCAGTTTTGTCACATGTAGCACTTTGTCCCATGTACCTACCTGATTTGTTAACCTAGCCTCGAGGTCTGACAGTGCGCCCCCCCCTTCCCCTTGCAGCTGTCCGACAATGTAGCTGCAAGGAGACGGCAGCATGATCCCTGCCCCTAACCCCCCTCCCACACATTCCTCTTGCCGTCCCTTGTCTGGGGCAAGTGCGTCTTTCCAATCAGACATCTCCTTGCTAGTTATGGTGTCAGATGGCTGCAGGTGGAGGGGAAGTACCTGTTCATGCTCAAAGCACATAGGAACATGAGACAAAGTGCTGTGTGTGCTCTGTAAGCCTAGTTATGGGTTTGAACCAGGGCGGATAAAAATCAATGATTTTTTTTTAAAAATCGGATTTTTTTTCTTATTTAAATCGGATTTTTTTTATTTAAATCAGATTTTTTTTTATTTAAATCTGATTTTTTTTTAATAAAATTGCTTTTTTTGAGGAAAATATATTACCTTCCAAAGGTCATTCCATCATGAAATAAAGATTAGTTTTTTAATTATGTAGAATAAGGCTGTATATATTTTTTTGGTAAATAAATTCCATGAATCCATTCACAATGTCATGCTCTTCCAGAGGTTTCTGTAAGATTATTGGGCAGTTTCTCTGCCTACAAGATATTATCACAGATGATTGGTTTACTTTTGCAGTTCTCAAAACTGAATTTGACTCAGCGGAGATCACATGCCTC